GTATATCTTTTTTTTTTTTTTTTTTTTTTTTTTTTGAATTATTTTCAAAGTTACATTGAATAAGCCTTATTCCAATATGGCGGAACAACTTTAGTGGTATATCGCATATCGAGTAGGGATAATCCAAATGTAAATGTAATTCAATTAACGCTTTTTGATTACATTCTTTAGGAAACACAGAGAAAAAACCAAGAAGGTATCTCCAAAACCAAGAGAAAAAGCGTCACGAATTTTCTATGCAAAGTTATGAAGAATCAAAAACAGTGACTTCTACATCCGATAGTTTGTATGAAACTGCGCATGTCTGTAGCGTGTCTGACGTCATCCAAGGCAAGGCCAGTACTGCAATTGTGAACGCATCATTTGAGGAAGAAGAAGAAGGCAAGGAATTTTACAACTACGACAAGTTGGATTCTAAAAAGAAGAACGAGTTTACCCTAGATGTTGCTGAACTGGAGAACCATTTATGGCATGCCCTGTCGGAGCACCATGACACCGAGGAAGACAAGTATAAGGCAGACGAAGTAGCAAGTGTAGAGTCGAGTGGATACGGAGGCGACTCAAGCCTTGATGGCACAGACGTTGAAAGCGTCGAAATTTGCATGCCAGAAACTTTCATTGACATGGTACCTAACCATTCGGCTATGATTCTAAGTTCACGAAGGGGATCGAGTAGAGTCAGTCCTTTCCCAAGCCCTAAGTTATCAAGATCCGCATCCAAGAGAGTCCCAAGGTCGCAAATGGGATCCGAGAGTGTTGATATACATCCCCATTCCAGTGGAGAAGACTATGGAGTTAGTAGAAAAGTAAGGTCAAGACTTAACTCAGAAACCCAGGAGAGTCCATTTCCAAGCCCAAGGGTAACGCGATCGCTGTCTGACAGATTCTTTGTGTCTCCTCTTGTGCCTGAACATCTTCAAATGCACCATCCCAGTGGAATTGATCCCAAAATACGATCAAGACTTGACTCAGAAATTCAGGAAAGTCCGCTCCCAAGCTCTCATTCATCGAACTCTACTTCTTCTGGAAACTGTAAAGAATCTTCTTTAGCTTTAGAAAGTAGCAATTCGAATTTCTTGGAAATAAATGATAGCACGTTGCAGGAAGTCAATTTGAATTATATGGCGAACAAGGAAATGGAAAAAGAAACAAGTAAAGCAAATGACATCGACTCTGAATTGACCATTATTGACAGATCTAAAGGCAAAAGCACCAGGAGGAAATCTTGGAGAACTTTGTTTAAAAATCCTGTATTTTACAAGGTAAGAAAATCAATTGTTTGATAGATTTCTAATAATGAAGCGAGGGATGCACGAACGACAAATATATTGGCTAGCACAAATTGCGCAAACGCAAGTTTCCATATTGCACAACCCAATACGCCGAATCGAAATATAGCGACCTATTTGAATAACCATTGTTATGGACTGACTAACGACTGACTAGCCTCTCATACATGTGAAAAAGCTCTTAGGTTTCCACGTGAACAGGAGGCTAGTCACTCTAGTACAGCAGATTTCTTGAAAAGCATGTGAGCGATGCCTTACCGTGTCGTGCGTAAAGACTTAAGTAGAAAAATGTGGGGGAGAGGAGAAAAGGGAGGAAAAAGGAATTGGGCACATTCTACCAGGTGAGGAGGGAGCGGGGGAGTGGGGAGGAGGCGAGGCCAGAGGGAATATTTGTGTTTCATTTGTTCCCAAAACAAGTGTAACTACAAATATTTTCACCCGTTTTCACACGAGATTTTTTTCTTTTCGCTCATAGGAATTTTTAGAGACGCAAATTTGGTGATCAAAATACATTCCAAAGGAAATCTGCCAACTGGTTGCTCATCAGTCCAACTGAATCATACTAATTTTAAAATATAATTCATTTCTGTTGGCTACCTTCCTAGATAGAGTACTAACATATTCCTCATTGATTTGCCAGCTTGGAGTAGCCTATATGTTTACTAGGCTTTCTCAGACCATTGTAAGCTCCTATTTGCCAATGTACTTGACGGATCACCTGAAGTTTGAGAAGGTAAGCAACTTGTAGTAAGTAAAGAAGAATAAGAGAAGGCAGAAAAGAAAATGACTTGACGTTCTCCTTTTCCACTGTTCCCCTTCTGAAAGCGGGGTAAGGGAAAGGGAGAGGGGTAGAGACGCGTCTGCCGTCAGTCAAGGAAAGTTGCCTGAAAGCGCAAGCCAGTGCTTAGATCAGCTGGCCATTCTGTTCAATTTTTGGCCTTACTAAATGTTATTTGTTAAAATTTCTATCCAGGCATCCATTGCCTACTTTCCTCTAGTGATTCTCATCAGTGGAGTATTTGCCAGCATTGCTGCCAAGAAACTGAACAAACTATTAGGAAATAAGGTAACTGACTTAACGTTTAAAAGTGTAAACGTTTGTAAGAAGTCATGATGTAGCTGAAAAACGCGGGCTGCAGTTGGTAGCCATAAAAGACTTTGTGACAAAATGAATCTCTCGTTAGTGTGGCTTGGGTGTATATTTGACGGATTTTGCAGCCATATGAGCGCGCGCTTGCTCCCCAACTCTTGCCATGCCATTGCTCCATTCACTGTATCGCATTTATTTTAATTCATTTTTCAATCTTTTTAGTGGACGTTTGTAGTGGGTGCAATGGCTGTTATAGGAGGGTCTGGATGGTTTTGTCTTCTAACAGCCGAGAATCGATCATTCGCCTACATCCCCGCCATTGTGTCAGGTTGTGGGACGTCAATCATGTTTGTCACTACTCTTGCTTTAGCGGCTGAGTTTGTTGATGCTGATAGGGTAAGAAGAGCGACGAATTTCAATTTGAATTTTGCTTAATATTAAGGGGGACGAGAAGCGTAGTCAAAAGAGGAATACTACAGCAATTTAGACTTTCTCAAAGTCCATTTTAGCGCAACCTCCGCATCTTCCTTCACTGAAAAGCCGGCTTGAGAATAGCGATCTTTGCGAGACTTGTATGGCTTAGGTCTAATAGCCGTCATTTGGAGCAGCAAACTTCGATCCCTAGTGATCTCACACACGGGCTCTGACTTCGCAGCTTTGGCTTCCATTGATAGTAACAAAGCTGTGCACGCAAAAAAGATTTCTTTGATTTAACGTACTCATGTTATTATCCAAATGGCAGACCATTGAAATAGTGTGTTTACTGGAAACCAAAGCCGCTGACTAGTATGGGACGGTGGGCTCGTAATATCAGTTAACACACCATCTAATACCTCATGTACTTTCATTTACAGAGTTCAGGAGCATTCTTAATGGCGTCCATGGGATTTTTTGCTAAGATATTTTTGGGTGTTCTTTTTGGACTCTTACAGGAATTTGCTCCCGAAAAAACTAGGTATGTAACAGGAAATGATAACTAAACGTTTGTACTAGAATTTGTTTCTTTTCATGTCCAGTTTAAACCCTGGATCAAGTGTTGAAGTACCGTTTCATTTTGCAAGACGAATTTTTTTCCAGCCGTGACATGTGGGACTGATTTTTGGGGACCAAAACATTTTCAAGATGGCGTCTATTTCGTCCTCTAAAACAGTCCCACAATGCACTGTAATGCAAACTCGACCCAATCTTTTCCTCGACCTCGGAATGGCTAATAGCAGTAGAAAAAGTAGTAACTCACTGTTGATATTATTCTGTTTTAAAACTTCAGCCCTGATTGTCCAGAGTGCACTCAGTACGTCCGTTATGTCTTCTCCTTGACGCCTGGTGTATGCGCCTTCCTCGGCGTCATTGCTTTCGTTCTGTTTATCCCGGCTACCATCCAGTGCAGACCAATTGGTATGTATTGAGAAATATGAAACATGGGCGACTCTGAGCTAACAAGAAAGGATGTCGTGAACTTTGAAATGACCAAAAGTGGGGTCAAAATATTCTATGCTTAGGAAATAACAGTATTTTAGCCTTTGAATTGCTTGTATCGATCAGCTGAATGAATCTCATAAATCACATTACCAGCCTACAGTGAAGGGCAAACAATGCCCGCCGTATCATGCGCAATCATCCATCTACATTTATATCAAAGCTTGCCATTCAACTGGTAAAAAATCCCCAAACAAGACCAGAAGTGTTGTCTATCGATGGTAACCTAATATAGGGATTTAAAGTTTCTTTTTTCCACCCTTGGTCCCTTAGGGCTGCCCCTCCGCCCCTCCACCCATCACCCCTCCGCCCAACCACCCCTCCGCCCCTCCGCCCCTCCACCCCACCGCCGTTCCAAGCCCTATTTGTAATTTTTCAACTGGAACCACAATACTTGACCCTTTTTTTCAATTGTTCTTCAGCGGAAACTGTCGACGCAGAAACACAGACAGATGGTTTGTCTTTCAACGAACCAGGCACTAATACCTTGGAAGTCATCAAAGATTATGAAACCAAGACTGAACCAGTATCAGCAGTCTTTAGGGATCAAACGATTCAACCAGACATCGAAGTGAAACGAATAACAAACGAAGCAGGGATCATCGTTGAGGTGCCTGAATCACTTGACACACGATTCTAAATTATATCAGAACAATGAGTATTGAGAAAGATAACTGGCCAAGCTAGGCTGCATGAACGAGTGATGAATGCAATAGCTCTTAGCTGGCTTTTAAGAGATCTGTATCGGATCCTGACTGGCTGAATGTCAGTAATAGCAAGAACGTAGTTAGATCGAATAAAATTCCCAAGGAAGACAAGAGAGGTCTACTTGGGGAAAATCTATTCCTTAGTGAATTGTGATGGAAGGGATCGGAAAAATATGGTGACCACAAAGGAAAAAATCCTTTGCTCTTTAAAAAATAACAAATTATGACCGTCGATTGCGACAAACGGCAAAATTTGCAAAAGATTTCCAGGCATGTAATGTGGAAATCCAACTGTAAAAAAATCACTCAAATTGACCTTTTATGTTGACTGAGAATGAATATATAGTGCTTGCGCGCTACCAAATCATATTCAGTATGATGTGAATGGAAATAAGAAAATATTAATCAGTATGTAAAAAGCACAGGGAAGGAAGGGGGACTAATAGGGGGTCTCAAACCAAAATGATATTGTTYGTAATATTTAACTTATTTGTTGTCTTTTTGTAATTTTTAACTTATTGTAAGTATCGGTAATTTAATACTGGATCAAAAAGGGAAAGTTAGGTGGTGGTTTTCAACCATTTCCAAAAGGACCCAAAGAAAAGTCTCTCACCAGATGAGGTAAAGTGAAAACGAAGAATTGTGAATGTTTGCTCCTTTTAAAAGGGATTTCTATTTATGGTAGTGATTGATGTGTATGTGTTGTTGGTTGTATATCATGCACACTTAAATCACCTTTTTCCCCATTTCAGACCACGTGCCATTTTCTTGAGAATAAGACTCTTTGTTTGAATTGTATCCATATTCATGTCTTCTCATGTGCAACTGTTAAACAAAGAAATGATACTCTAGAGAATACACATTGTCTAAAATGGGAAAACATTACAACCAAGATAAAGAGGTCTGTGCGTGATAAATGCCGTCAAGTTGGTTGAATTTAACAAGATATTTGCCAGTATCCTCTTGTTATATCGACTAACATGGGGGTCATGTCGTTTGTTAGTTCATTCTCATTTGGATGATTGCAAATCACCTACTGGCATAGACTAACGCATGCGCAAATGACGCATTAGYTGAAAAATCATAATGAACGCGACATACTTCTAAATGAACTTCTAAATATTAAGAATTGGGCTTTATTTTGTGCACGAATTTTGTTATTTTTTAGCAGTTATATTTTTGCGAAATTTATTTGCTTATTATTATATATCTAGATAATGCTTTTTGAAAGAAAAGTCCGTTCACGATTGATCAGCACTGTTAACGTAACGTTTATATAATTCATGTTTTGTTCCTCGTGTTATGACACGTGTTCAAAGCATCTCGCACAATGCAAACAGTATTTAATGTACATGTCAATGGGGATTTCTTTACAAATAAAGTGTTTATTTTTGCAGGCAAGCTGTTAAAATGTTGTCTAGTTCAGTGTTTCCTTGCGTTTTGCAAATATATTTTGGCCTGAAGATGAGTACGAAATTCCGTTCTAGGATAAAGGCGAAACATGCAATTGTCATCTGATAAGACCTGATTTAGAGGGGATGGGTGTGGTTACCTAGTACTAACTTGTCATTCTGTAATTAGGCTCAAACATTCCCGAAGGCAAAAATTCAAATCATAGTAACGAATGCATTAATTCAATAATGCAATATGTACTGTACAACGCAGTGATGTATTTAAAACAACTAGTCATTTCTAATATACTCAGTATCGAGAAAGGTAATGAAACAACAGTGTTAGATTGTGTCAATTGTGTGACTGATCAACCCACAGACCGACCGATTGCTCGACCGGCGATTGCTCGACCGATTAGCGACTGAACAGAAGATAAACACAGACAGATAGACAGATAAGGGACAGACTGGGATGTTAGAGAGAATTACAGCAAAAACGTTTTGAATAATGAAAAAACCTTGGTATTAAAGCTTAGTAGATGGCAGGTCCTCAAGTATCTCCAAGTCTTCCGGCTTGATAACAACATTACGAGAACTATCTGCTGAAAAAATGGAATCCACTTACATACTTGTACATACATACATACTGACTGACTGACTGACAGACTGACAGACTGACAGACTGACAGACTACCTAAACTTCTAAAAGCACACACGTACCTTGAAGAGCCAGTCTCTGTTGTAGTGTCTTGTTATACTGAATCTTTTGGCAGTTTTCTTTAAAAATTAAAAAAAAGTGCCAAGAGTAAGTAACCTTTAGCCTTCAGGGTGACAGACCTCTACTGAATATGACCCAGTATCTTGGAATACAATAGCATTTCCAAGAGAGTCAAAAAATAAAAACAAAAACATGGCGGCCATCTTGCTGTCGTTAACAATGTATGCTAATGAGAATGTTTTGTTAAATGGCACCATTCAACACTCCCCTGAGAGGTCGCGATTGAATTTTACATGGGGAGCTGTAGAGTTCGAGAGAAGAAAGCTTAGTAACACAAGTAGTGCCTTTCCTGCTGTTCGAGTGCTCTATACTAACAGCGCGTCATTGTCCAAGTACTGACTAACCGTTTGGTATGTGCGCGTAGAAGAAGACCTGGACAAAACTAACTGCTGACTGGATGGCGGGAACGAGAAAGATGACAAGGCGTAGAAATTCTCCAGATTCTTGTGACGACTGGCTGAGGATGCAAAACACACAGAACAAGCCAACATTTAATGGACTACCTCGATGATACGGCGGCCATCTTGAATCGCAAGGCATTGTGGGGCGTCCAGGGGGCAAATTAGGTTTTGTTACAGTAATGACGTCGAATGATATTAACAGCTCACCACAAGACAATACAACACAAGATGAATTACGACGACACATCGATCAACTTTACCCATAAAAGAAAGACAAACACACGAAACTCTATCTATTTTCCGTCATCTTTGCCTTATTTCGCCCCTTGAGAAGATGGCCGCTGTATCGTTGAAGTAGTCCATTATCGTATACTATTACTTTACAAATAAGGTATAAAGAAAAAAGAATGAAATCCAGGATTCTTAGAATGCCATTCAACGATAAATCTCAGGGCTACGAGCGCATTCATACTTGACGAGCCGAGAAAAAAATAGCCCTTATCTCTAAGATAGAAGGTAAGTCTAGCAAATGCTATTTTTTGAGTTTTCAAACATTCTTTTCCGATTATCACCCCTTCACATACCAAAGTGCGCAACCCTGAGGAATGAGTAGATAATACTTAATTCAAGGTGTCGCTTGACGTCACGTGTACGTCATAAATTACGTCACCTTCGATGTCCTTGTGGAAACGTTTGCATGATGGCGAACACCACAAACCCATTGAACACCTCATTCAATGTCTTTGTGAAGTCGTCTGCACCAATCAAATACAAGCTGGGGTAGCTAGATGACGTAAAGAACATGGTCTGTGATGTGATCATCATGACGCATGCGCTGTAGCCAAAGGTCAGTGCAGGGAAGTAGAGAAGGTAGTTTAAGCTAGAGGACTGGGTGTAGAACCAGACACTGGAACCAAACATCATGATTGATGATGCGCAAAACAGAACCTTGAAAAAAAATTGAAGTGAAAAGAAAATACGCCATTTTAGCTAATACGATACGATAAACTTTAATTGAAGAGGTTGATGCAATATTCTAGTGAGCTATCTAACTTAAGGCCCTCAAAAGAATAGCCACTGTTACTTAAACTTAATAGACCTTTTTAGTTTGGACTTAATCTTTTCCCATTTTAGACCATGTTTCATTTTCCTGAACATAAGATTCCCTTGCGCAACCATTAAACGAAGAAATAATGTTCAAGGAAATGAAACGCGAACTGAAATGGGAAAACAAAGAAATCAAAACTCAAGAAAATGCCACGTACATGATTTGGAACTGCGAGACAATGCTCTTAAGTTAAAAAGGTGCGTACCTTGCAGCCAAATATCGATAGAAGTTTTTCCAGAATAACGAGAGCAAGCGACCATCCACCAAACACTACGGCTGAAAAGTAAGCCACGGCGAGCTGTGTCAAACCCAGACCACAAAAATCGCATTAGACACTTAATTCATTATTATTATACTTTATTATCATAATAATAACTGCATGCTAATTTGAAGTGGTGTTTAATGATTTCCAAAGGTGCCATGTTGGATGAACATGTCATGAGTCTAAGATTTTAAAAATGGGGAAAAAGCTGGCACGATTGGCTTCACAAATGTGGTTCAAATTTCATTCAACTGAGTGGAGAGAACATGATCGGCTTCACACGATTTCACACCTGTGACACCAACACCACTGGCTGACATGTATTATCTTAACAGAACTTGAACCACAGTTTGGGGAATGTAAATGAGATCAGTAATACTTGTCTTTCTAAGGAAACATAAAAGTTTTAAACACCGAGAAGAGTGTATAGGTTACCTTGTTGCAGTGTATAGACTCGATCAGGTAGACTGGCAGAAGAAGCATCGTCACAACGGACGCATTAGAGCTCAGAATATACACAAACACTGACTGAAACACGTCAAGAAAACATGATAACATTGGCTTTTTTCTCTAAGAAAGTAAGTAAAGGCAGTGCTATGAATGGTAAATTTAAAAGCAAAGAATAGACCCATTGAGCTTAGGCGAAATGTTTTCCCATTTAAAATAGGAGAGCATTTAACTGAAGTTGAAAAGGTCGATTTTCCGGCACAATAGGGTGATTGGTTTTAGAAAACCTTACCCGCATATAGTTCATGTCTTGGAAATGCAGTTTCCATTGCCCAACACGATCTTGATCGATGCTTGATTGAGCTGATGTTGAAGTGGGGCGACTTTCTTCTGCTAAAATTCAAAGAAATCACAACACAGTAATCAATTGGAATGTGACAAAATCAATGTATTACAAGTATTCCCAAGAGATGCATATGACAAAGACATGGCGGCCATGTTGGTGGTACTAATAATGGAAGCTATTGGAGCTTTTGAGAAGTTTTTTTGTTTAATACCACCAATATGGCCGCGATGACGTAACGCCAATCGAAGAATATGCATTTGGAATTTCCATCAATTGGAGTCGTGCATCCCTTCCCATGAAGATAAAAGGACAGAATACGTGACTGCCATGTTGGTTCTCACTGTCAACCAGCATGGCGGCTATGAAGTCACATGCACCCCAAGACTACGAATTCTTAAAAAAATCTATTGACGTAAACTGATAGAGGTTATGAAGTATGACAGTCAAGAGTGAGACTGATGAAGAAAAATTACTTGTGCCACAAAGTATTATGCTGGAAATACATAGTCACGTGGTTTAACCGTTTGCTTACCATGATTTTCTCTCTGTTCCACTTCGTTGTTTTTATCACTTTCTTTGCGAATCCTTTTTGATGTTTTGTACGACGTAATGTAGTATAAAACAGTGGCACAAAATCCGACAATGAGAATAAACAATGTCTGGTTCTGAAATAAAAGAAAATTGGTCAAGAGGAATATCTCTTTGATCAGCACATTAATTAATACTGATATATCCTTCATCACTGGACGAAAAAGTTTCGCACGCCATTTTGAATAAATAATATTCATGCAAAGATGTCTGGGGTCTGCCTTTAACTGGATGGTCATCGAAAGGTGCCTAATGAAATCTGCTGCAAGAAAGRACAACTCTCGGATAACTGAGACAATCTTTTTTCCTAAACATTTGCTAATAATTTATAAATCTGAAAAATGAGAAAAATACCAAGTGGACAGACAGACAAGCAAAAACGCTAGGTTGTTGTATATGTACGATTAAGGAGTCACATTACCGCAAATGCGCCTTGACTTGCAGGTGAAATGTGTTCTCCTTTGCCATTGGTTAAAACAATCCACGTCACTAAATGAAGTAGCAGCCCCAGCGTTGATTTGTGGGTGAAGCTAAAAAAAAGACATGCATTTAAAAATAAGCAACGTTGAAATCGACGAAAGAATGAGGTAAAGGATAAGGAGAAGAAAAAATGATTTTAAAGAAGAAGAAGAAGAAG